AGGGGCGCACCGTGAAGCCGCTTCCCACGCAGCTGTCACGGAGTGCCAGGGGCACCCAGCGAAGGGCAGAGAACTTGCAACCAGTCCGGCTCCTGAGCTGCAGGAAGTCAGGGGAGGAGGGCGGGTCCCCGCGGTCCAGGGCGGCCCTCACACAGGACTGTGCTGCTCTGTGCACTTGGGGCGCCGAAGCCCGACGGGGCTGCCTGGTGACTTCTGATCACAGACATGGGGGTAAGATCCAGGCACCTGCCCAGATGCCAGCAGCTGTGATGGGGAAAGTCTGACCTTTGCACCGCGTGGAAGGCCAGCCTGGCATCCCACCTCCCTGCTCTGTAGACCCAGGTGGAGGGGGTCAGCGTTACTGCCTCTGTGCCCTCGGGGGCACCGTTCATTTGTGGGGTCTGTGACTGGCACCCGGGAAGTGCAGGCGGGGGGGGGGGGGGGTGCCTTCTGGTGTTGTGCAAAGTTGTGACCCCGTGGCAGAGTGACAGCTGCACGCTAAGTTCTGTCACCCGCGAATCTCCCTCCTTGGTCCGCATGCAGCCCCGGTGTGTATGCTGGGGTAGACCTTTCCAGAGGACTCAGAGGCAGAGGGGGTGACGTGTGTGGGTGTTAGCCAAGACCCAGGCCCGGCTTCTGCTGGACCCGGAGCCGCCTGCTACCGGACGTGGTGGCAGTGGTCCCGCTGCAGAGCGGGGACCGGGGGGCAGCACTGGGAGTGTGTGTCCTGCCCGCTGAGCCAGGGCCCGGGAGGTGGACCTGTTACCTGGCAGTCAGCTAGCCACCGCCCGGTCCAGCACTCAGGATGGCACGGACCTGGGATTCGATAAAGCGATTGGCAGCGAATAAAAATCGTAGGAGAAAACAAGCCTGGGCATCCAAAAGGTGTACTGGCCTTCGTGCCCTTGTTGGCAGAGGTGACTGAGCCCCATTGGGATGGGTGACAGGCTGCAGGGACGGGAAAGGGGCTGAGGGGAATGGGCTGGGGGAATGGAGGGGAGCCGTGCGGGGTCTGTGGCCCCAGGACCTCCCTGCTCACATGCAGCCCAGCCTGCTCTTTTTAAAAAATACATATTTTATTGATTTTTTACAGAGAGGAAAGGAGAGGGATAGAGAGTTAGAAACATCGATGAGAGAGAAACATTGATTAACTGCCTCTTGTACACACACACACACACACACACACACACACACACTTCCCCGCCACTGGGGATGTGCCTGCAACCAAGGTACATGCCCTTGACCAGAATCGAACCTGGAACTCTTGAGTCTGCAGGCCGACGCTCTGTTCAGTGAGCCAAACCGGGTGGATGCAGCCTACTCTTTTTAAAGGACGGGAGAGAGTGCTGTCCAAACCAGCCTGAATGAAGAGTTTCCAGCTCTTAAAGATTGACGTGCACGTTCCCCGCAAACTCCATTCCTTATCTGAAAGCGAGGGGAGTGAGAGCCGGGAGGAGAGGAGAGGGCGAGTCCCACACAGCTCCTAGCTGCCGGACCTTCCTGTTGGCTGCTGACTACAGAGAGTGGATCTCTCTCAGGTTCCGTTTGCTGCTTTGCTCTTTCTGTAGCATTTCCCTGCGAACCTAAATAAGGTTGGCGTCTGGTGTGGGCCATGCTTGGTATTTACAACCCGTTTTTAAAGAGTGTACTCTACATGTCTCTCATCGGGGACATTTGAGTGTGAAGTGTATCAATGAGACTCCTGTCTGCCCTCAGCGAAGGGGCGGGTGGCGCCACGGGCCCCGCTGTGGTTGTCCCAGGCTTCCTTCGTTGCAGGCCTGGGTCAGTATCCTGGTCCCGCAACCGGAGAGTTGGTCAGGATTGTGTCTCTTAGAATAGGTTTGTTTTTCCTGAACCACAGTGATCTCTGGAACCAGTAAGAGAGAACAGAGTATTCCGAAGTCCCTGAGTCTCTCAAGCTCACAGCTAGTAAGGGCAGGGCTGAGACGGAGGCTGGTGGTCAGCTCCAGAGCCCGCCTCTGACACTGCTCCGTTAACAGAGGCGATGACTGAGCAGGGCTTTCGGGAAGTGCTGCCACAGCGACCCTCTGTGACGGTCCCTTAGCTCCCTCGCTCTCACAGTTTGGGAACCAGAGAATGAAGGGATCCTCCCTGCCCAGGTCAATGGTGAAGGCCCTCCAGCCCAGGCAGTTGACCTCCAGATCCCAGTTCTTAACCATTGGGCTGCTCTGCCCGTGGCCCTGCGTTGACCAGGGTGTGGTCTGCTCCCTCCATCTCTTTGCCCTGCGAGGGTATTGGTGGCCTACCCAGCACACTCCTGGGCGAAGACACTGGGTGGGCAGCCTCAGAGGCGTACACGGGAGTTGGTGGTTTGCTCATGCACATACATCCTGAGGTTGTGGGGCCGTGGCTGCCTGCACATGGCTTTTCCGAGTAGCTAAAGATAAATTATTTGTATCATATTCAAGTCGGTTGATTGAAATTTCAGAGTTCTTGTTCTGTTCCTTCCCTCAGAGTTTCTTCCTGAAACCCAATAAATGGCAGGTTTGAAAAGGAAAGACTTCGGTGAGGAGGCCCAGGAGTGAGTGTGAGGGAGTTGTGGGCCACCTTTGTGCTCCTGACCGTGTGGGTTCAAATCCCACCTACACCGCCTGCTGCCGGGGCCTCGGCAGGCGATCCCTCCCGAGCCTCCGTGTCCCTGTCTGTGAAATGGGCTGATCACACCTGCCTCCCGGGAGCCCTGCCTGGTGCCCAGGAGGTGCTTAGGGAATGCCAGCTGCTCCCGCCCTGTCCTTCCCATGGTTGAGTTCTGAACCAGAGGTGCCAGTTATGCAGTGGTCGTCAGGGATACTGGTAGGATGGAGAAACGAAAAAGCTGGGGAGGGGAAAGCGCAGCTCCTACCACTGCTAACCACCATGATGGCCTCTGCGCCCTCCGCTGTTCTGAGCACTGACCTCACTGATGCCTCCCAGCAGCCCTGGGGTATCGTGAGGCCCCAGCCAGTGCTTTGGGCCACAGAAGAAATTACTTTTATGCAGATTTCAAGAAGCAATAGAATCTCAAATAAAGGGGAGGGGATCGAGAACTCCCTCTCCTCTGCCTAGATTGTCATTTTTAATTCTTAAGTGGGAACTCCCAGGACAGGATAAAATGAGTCACTAGAAAACCCTCGGCCTCCTGGCCCCGCTGATTGTCCCTGGGGTCGGTGACATCGGTGACGGCAGGGCTGTGTGTGCCGGTGTGCCCTCCTCTCCCCGAGCCCGAGGACCAACCTGGAGGTGTTTCCTCGGTCCTCTGCTCACCAGCTTCTCCCTTTGTGGCCATTCTGCTGCGACCCTGACGGAGTCCACAGCGTCTCCCTGCCCGCTGCCTCCCAGTGCAGCGCCTGAGGGCCCGCCGGGGAGGGAGAGTGCTTCGAGGGACTAACGTTGGCTCTGGTGCTCCGAGCACTCGGCCACCCTCCTGCCCCGGCTGTCCTGTCCGGCTGCAGGGGCTGCAGGGGCGGGAGATGAGAAGTTGGAGATCACGGGCGGCCTGTCCGTGTCTGGGACAGGCAGGGCCTTGAGGTGTCAGAGTAGCTTTTGGGACCTCGGGAGCAGAACCATGGCGGGGGCGTCGTCACGTGGAATGTGGCCCAGACCTGTTCTCCCTCAGACAGGCCGTCCGGGGCACTCCCGGAGCGGGGTCCCTCAGCCCTTCCTAGGGATCGGCACCGCCTGGGAAGTGCCCCATCCTCAAACCCGGGGGGCTGCGCTCCCCGGCGCTCCCCGGCGCTGATATCCCAGGGCTTTCGGGTCTCGGTCTCTGGGTCCAAACGCTAGTGGGCCGGCCGCTGCCACTGGCCGTCTCCTCGGGCACAGCAGGCTGCGTGTGGCTCAGCCTTTGGACCCGAGTCCTGAGGGAGATCGAGCCCCGAGTCCTCTGCTTCCTCGCTGTGACTGGCCCGCGCCCCCGCCCAGGCCCCGCAGGCCCCGCCGGAGAGCGGACCGATCGGCACAGCCACGTCACAGCCATGGTGGCTGTGGGCCCCACCTTTGCCCTGGACTTTGGCCGGCTGATTTCCGGCCGAGGAGCTGGCATCTTGGCCTCGCAGGGGGAGGGTATGTGTACACAGAGCCGCGTGAGCCTCGTGCCACCAAAGCAAATAGGCTGATTCTCTGCTGTGGGTTAAGCCTGCCCTCCCCTCCGAGGGTGCGTCTCACCTGTTTCCTCAGCCCCGGAGACCAGGAGATGCTAGCGGAGTCAAAGGCAGAGCACCCGCCCCAGGTCCCCCCACCCCGCTCCCAGCTCTGGTTTACGGCTCTCCTCTTCAGGGCCCGGGGGGGGGGGGGGCAGCCACCCGCCACGTGGGGTGGAACCGGAACGGCCTCACACGTGGCGTTGACGTGGTGTCGGACTGCACTGTGTGGGACCGGGTGTCTTCTGTCCTTCACGGGCTTGTCTGGTCTGCCCGCCTCTGAGGGAAGGGGTTCTACCCGCCACCATGGTCTCCTGGCCAAGGGACAGAGGAGGCCCTGGGAGGGTTAGTGTCAGGGCGGTTTCCGTGTTGGTGCTAAATTGCAGAAAATCAGACCCCGCAGCGAAGGCCAGCAGAGCTTCACCCCCACGGGTGACGGTGAGGTCTCAGACCGGAGGGGCCGTGGGCAGGAAGCACGGCCAGCGGAAAGAGACGGGAAAGGATGCTGGGCACCTGGCGTCCCAGCCTGGGCTGGGCTGTGACCGGACAGTTAGAGCTGCGTGTCTGCGTGTGAGCGACCTAGGGCCTGCCCCGGGGCTGTACCCGGGCAGCTGGAGACGGGATGTGTGCAGAGGGGCCTGGCACCCACGGGGAGTGGCGGGCTGTGCCCTGCGTGGGCATGGAGCCACAGCACAAGGTCCGGCCCTGTGCAGACCACGGCAGGGCCTCTCGGGGGCTTCCCACCGAGCCCTGAGTCACGGAGGCTGTTGTCAGGGTCCTGGGCCCAGCAGGTCGGGCTGTGCAGTGAGGGCTTACAGGGGAGGGCCTCCTGCCTGCCTCACCCTCGGCCTTGCCCCACAGGCTGGCGCCCATGCGGCTGTACACGCTCTCCAAGCGCCACTTCGTGCTCGTGTTCGTCGTCTTCTTCGTCTGCTTCGGCCTGACGGTCTTCGTCGGGATCAAAGGTAGGTGCAGCTTTGGCCATGGTATCCTGTACAGTCACCCTGTGCAGCCCGCCCGCTGTACCCGCCCGCTCCCACCGGGCAAGGCCCGATTCCCCCTGACCCACCGGGTGGAGGGGCGACCCTGTCCCGCCCGCACGCAGCCAGGGCCTGAGGGCGGCGGGCAGCCCTGGTGGCCTTGACCAGGCACCTTTCATTGGGAAGCCCAACCTTTCTGGAGAGGTTGTGTGCCAAGATCCCGCCTGGGCGCTGGGCAATCCAGAGCTTGCTGGCTGGCGCGGAGCAGGCCATGGTGCCGCCATGGTGGGGAGGGCGGGAGATGCTGGCAGCAGGAGGCTGCCCTGGTGATGCCCCAGCTCTTGGCAGGAGGAGCCCGTACATGGCTTTGGCCTTGACCTCAGGGCCCGGATGCCTTTGGGCCCCCAGCATGCTCTTTGAGGGGGAGAAATGGGTTCTGGGCCTCAGTTTTCCATCTCTGAGAAAGGGGGTTGGATGGGACCATTTCAAAGGCCATTTTGAAGCTAAAATCAGCAAAAGACAGGTTTCTTAACCTAAACTCAGTCTTGGGTTGATGATGGGCCGAGGGAGCTGGGCAGAGAGAGGGTGATTACGTCAGTGCCATTTGCCTGCTGCTGCTGAAGATGATAGTGGCAATGGCAACTGTAGCCAATCTTGTTTCCTCTTTCTTTAACCTTCCCCAGGACATTCTTCCACTGGTTTTTTGAGAGAGTGGAAGGGAGAACCAGAGACAGACAGAAACACTGATGTGCCGAAACCGGTGTGGCTCAGTAAATAGAGCGTCCGTCTGCGGACTGAAGAGTCCCGGGTTCGATTCTGGTTAAGGGCATGTACATTGGTTGTGGGCACATCCCCAGTAGGGGGTGTGCAAGAGGCAGCTGGTTGATGTTTCTCTCTCTTCGACATTTCTAGCCTCTATCCCTCTCCCTTCCTCTCTGTAAAAAATCAATAAAATATATATATATATATATATATATATATATATATATATATATATTTTTTTTTTTTTTTTTTTTTTTAAAGAAACACTGATGTGAGAGAGACACATCCATTGGTTGCATCCTGCATGACCCTGACCAGGGCCAGGACCCCACCACCTGGGCATGTGCCCTTGACAGGAATTAGTCCACAGGCTGTCGCTCTATCCACTGAGCCAAACCGGCTAGGGCCTGTGGTTTTAAGTTGCAACTCTGATGATCAGTGACTTTGAGCATTTTTTCATAGGTCTCTTGGCCATCAGTATATCTGCTTTGGAGAAGTGTCTTTTTAGGTCCTTTGCCCATTTTTAAATTGGATTTTTTGTCTTCCTGGTGCTGCGTTGTATACATTTGTTATATATTTTGGAGATTAACCCCTTATCAGATGTATCATTGGCAGATGTGTTCTCCTAAACAGGCAGTTCCCTTTTTCTGTTGATGGTGTCTTTGCTGTGCAGAAGCTGTTTGGTTTGATGTGGTCCCGTTTGTTTATTTTTGCCTCTGTTTCTCTTGCCCCAGCAGATGTATCGGTAAAAATATTGCTATGTGAGATGTCTGAGATTCTACTGTCTGTTTTCTTCTTGGATTTTTATGGTTTCCCAACTTCCATTTAAGTGTTTGATCCATTTTTAGTCTATTGTTATGTATGGTGCAAGCTGGTGGTCTGGTTTCATTTTTGGCATGTGCCTGTCCAGTTTCTCCAACGCCATTTGTTGAAGAGACATGACCACTTCTCTTAAGGCCAAAGTCCTAAAAAATGACAGTGCAAGCATTTATGAAGACTGCATATCTGTTATTTCAGGAAAAGCTTTATGTATATATTAGCAAGTATGCTTTTTCATGTTCTCTACTGAGTAAACGTTTTTGGAAAACTGGATTAATTGGGTGAATTGACAAATGTCTTAATTTTTCGGCAGAAATCTTTATGCTTTATAAAATAGGTAGATGCCGCCAGTGTCATGAGCGTTTCCTTGGTCTGCGGTGCCCAGAGTCTCATAGAGGCAGGGAGAGGTCTCTGCGGGGACAAAAAACCCTGGGGATTGTGTGCCTCGTGTGGTGGCCGTTGGGTTCACCTGCCCGGAGGCCACCAGCAGCGGAGTGGATGCTGTGTGTCTGTGTGTTTCACATACATGTGCAGCCTCTGATGACAGACCAGGAGAATAAGACCACCACCAAATAACGTATGTCTTGGCATCTGACAAGAGTCAATAAATTAATTACCAATGGAGGCTTTAACCTGCTTTTTTCCTTCTGTTACACTTTAGGACCCAAAGCGATCCAGACTTCTGAAGCTAATTTTTCACTAAATAATAGCAAAAAGGTAAGACTGGGTCTGCGCGGCAGGCGATGGGCCATAGAAGCATCCAGGTCACCAGCAGTGGCCGCCTGTCCTGCAGGCTCTTCTCAGCCAACATGGCAGTGGCTGGCCTCTGGGTCCTCGTTTGATGAAACGGCATTTTCTGCTGCAGTAGGTGCCTCAGTGCGAGACGGCTGGTGTGGTAACACTGAGAGTCCAGAGGCCGGTAACTCTCTGGCCTCACGTCTGCAGCTCTTCCTGTTTGCCCCGCGTGCCATGGTCTCCAGGCGCGGTTTCCAGCAGTGACAGTTCTTCCTAACGGTCGGCGTCCTTTGCATGAGCTCAGTTTAAATGAAATAGCCTTTTTTCTTTTCTTTTTTTAATTTTCCTTGATTCTTTGCCATCTTTAGAGAAACACAGAAGTCCTTCCAATTGGAGAATTTTGGTATTCTTTAATAAATACTAACTTGAGAGAGCCCAAATAACTAAACACTTTTACTTTTCTGTGTATCAAATGAAATTTTTATCTGTAAACTGAGCAAACTTGTCTTGCATTCTCATAACACCATAACATCTGATTATCTGACCCCAAATATTAACTTGTCCTTCTAGCTCCCTAATACGTGTCCACTCTTACAGTTTTCAAAAAGGCAAAAGGAGAAAATACCCTAAAACCTATACCTTTAATTGTCCCCTTTGCTGGCTTGAAAAGGGTCCCGGTGTAGCCCATTTCTCCACATTTCCCTGATTTCTCTAACTCTCAGCCTGAGTGAGCACCTGATTGGAAGAGGCGCAGCCATGAGGCCCCTGATCGGAGTTTGGCCTTTTAAATTTTGTCTTATCATGTCAGTCTTTTTTTTTTTTTTTTTTTTTTTTTTTTTGACACTGAAAATAGCAGCCGTCCCACAGGCTGACTTGCTTCTGAAGGAGGATGGATTACCCTCCGAGAGAGCCCCTCACGTGGGTGGCTGTGGGCACAGCCCTGGGCACGGGTTCGGTGGAGACCTGCCAGAGCAGTAAGACCCAGCAGCACACGCTGGCGTCAGAGACTGAGCATGCAGACGGTGCTTTCTCCGGAGCCCTGTGTAGACACCGGAATCGGGTTTCTCAGCAGACACCGCAGAAGGGTCATTGCCGACGGGGTCCCCTCTAACTTTTCTCCCTAGCGTGTTAAGACTCTTGTAAAGCTGAGGATAACAGATACGACATGTCAGACATGTCTGGTATATTGATATTAAATCAAGAGTCTGCGAACATATTTCTTTGGCATCCTGTTACCTTATCATACGTCGCATCACATGCCCTTTAACTTTCCTCGAGATGGCCTTTCTGGGAATCGGCGTTGTGCCGAGGCTGCAGGTGGTGGGAGCACCTGCCCCGAGGTGTTCACGGGAGACAGATGTGCACTGTAGCAGAGTTAGGCCTTTCTCTTTCTGGAAGGCGGGATTCACTCCCGTCGTCAGGGAGACGCCTGTGTCTGGCCCAGCACCGTGCTCAGCCCTCCTCGCTGGTGTCCGCTTTGGGTGTTTAGGTGAGGTATTTGGTAGCTGCAATGGCAATGGAAAGGTCACTTAGGTTACTTAACTTCTTTCTCTTTCCTCAGTTGAAGCCAATTCTCATACGTTCGAATCCACTGTCCACATACAACCAGCAGCTGTGGCTGACGTGTGTTGTTGAATTGAATCAATCAAAAGGTAGGAAGCCTGGCATTGGGTCTGATTCCTCTGTGTACGAAGCCCCATGTTGTGAAAGTTGAAAGAGCTTTCAGACCTTTTAAAGTGATTTCAAAGGAGGGTTACAAGGATGGTCTTTAATCTTTATAACAGCAACAATGTGGAAGCCCTCAAATGTCCTCGTGTCCTCCGCACTAAGTTACCATGCAGCCCCCCAGGACCAGTCACCCCCTGGGGAGGGCAGCTCACCCCCCAGGAGCGCTGGTCAGCTTAGCTCCGTGGCTGCCTTTTCAGTGGGTCTGCCCCCCAGAGACACTGGCAGTGTCTGGAGACATTGGGACATGTTGATTGTCACAACTCGGGAGGCGGGCGCTACCGGTGTGGTGGGCAGGGAACACCCCATAACGCACAGGCTGGCTCCGCCCAGCAGGGAATCTCCGGTGCCGCGGTCAGCGGTGCCGCGGCTGGGAGCCCTGCCAGAGCACCCCGGGCGGGCACAGGGCATCGGCTCCGCTCACCGCGACGGCTCTGGTCGTGGGCCGCCTGGGAGAGCCGAGGCGGGGTCACCACGTGAGCCTCATGTTCCGGGTTCACACGAGGGGCTTTGGTTGAGAAAAAACTTGGAGAAAAAAAAACCTTGAAAAATGCATGTTAGAAAAAAATCAACTCCTTTTATGGTAACATTTTAAGAAGATAAATTTGATAGCGTTGTGTATTTGTATGTCTAGCAGATGGCCTGGCACGATGGGCACGTACATGCTAACTTGTTCTCTAGGTGGGACTGTAGTGTTTAATGCCATCGTCATAGTTTTTTGTTTTTTTTTTTAATATATTTTATTGATTTTATACAGAGAGGAAGGGAGAGAGATAGAGAGTCAGAAACATCGATGAGAGTCATGGATCAGCTGCCTCTTGCACCCCCCCCACCGGGGATATGCCCGCAACCAACGTACATGCCCTTGACCGGAATCGAACCCGGGACCCTTCAGTCCCCAAGCCGACGCTCTATCCATTGAGCCAAACCGGTCCCGGCCATCATCATAGTTTTTTGTTCTCTGATTCTTTTAAACAATGAGCATGTAATCAGAAAAAAATTATATAATCAGAAAATATATATCTGTTTTTATGTTCATATAAAATTGAATTAAAAAAATTATGTGTGATCTAAAAAGTAATTCGTTCGCTGTGCACTATTTGTCCTTCCATGAAATTAAGCTAATGGGTGGAGACCCTCCTGGCCTGTCACAGAGCCGGGCGGGCGTGTTTGTCCGCATGAGTGTCTGGCATCCCTGACACGGAACTTCTCTCTCTTGTAGAAATGTCTATGCAGACAAGCTTTCTCATGACCGTTAAAGTGGATGGTGTAGCTCTAGATGGAACCACCATGTTCATTCATAACAAAGTTCACAATCGCACAAGGACCCTCACGTGTGCAGAGGTGAGTGCATTCCACGGTCCGAGGTTACTCATCAGGCCACACCATCACAGACTTGCTTTCTTAAGTAAAAAACCTCATACCAGTGATGGTATGGAAAAACCATCTACCTTTATGAATGCTTTTTAACATACACACACACCTGTACACCCCTGCACAAGCACACACGCGTACACAAACCCACTCGCATGCACACACAGGCCCTGAGGATGTGTGGCACCTGCGATTACTGTTTGTGGCGCTTGCTGCCTGGGTGTGTGTGGGTGACTGTGGCTGGGCCGCCCGCCCGCCGCTCAGGAAGGCCCGCCGCTGCTCGGTCATTTCGGACCTGGGCTCTAGGCTGCTCCCCGGCCTCGTGGGAAGAGCAGCCAGTGGGGGAGCAGCTCCCCCAGGTGCAGCGTGAGGCCCTCAGCGGGGAAGGAGCCTCACTCTCGGGCTGTCAGAGGGTCAGACCAGGCCCCTCTGAGCCAGGAGGTGCCGTCAGGACTGCGGGGGCGTGGAGAGCGGGGGGCGCACAATACAAGCGTGTCTGAGCGTAGAGTTAGGAGAGCGGTTTTCCTGCTGGGCCTCGCCAGGTGCCTCAGGCGGCACCTCCTCAGGCCTCTCAGCGGGCCCCCGGGCAGGATCTGTTACCAGAGCTCATTTTATCTATGAAGAACCGAGGCTCAGAGAGCACGGGCCGGAGCGACAGGTGCTGAGGAGAGGGGCCAGGGTTTCAGCCCAGGCTCCAGTGTCCCGAAGACTGTGCCCTCCGTACGCCGCACACGCCTGGGCAGCCCCGGCGCTCGGCCTGCTCGTGCTGGCCGGGAGGATGCCGGGAGGATGCTGGTAGGGGCGGTCCCTGCTCAGCGGCGGGATCACCCTCTGTTGATGCCTAGGAGATCCTGAGGTGGTCAGAACCACGGCCCGAGGGGCTGGGCATGGCAGGCAATTGCAGGAGCGGGCTGAGGAGGAAGTGAGGCTGGGGGGGCTGATGGGTGGGGTGTGGGCCTGTGCGCCAGTGTGTTTGTGGGAATGCCAGGGCTGGGTTACACGGAGCTGCTTTATGCAGGTGCATAGTATGAGTCATCCAAAGTAGCGGCTAAGGACTGTAATTCATTTTTGTTCCCCAAAACACCCATTTGGGTCTTCCTTTCTAAGAACCGCTTTTGGCTGGCATCTGCATTTTTCTGGGCTTCTGGCGCCTTCCCTGGAGATGATCCGTCCGATCATCTGCTGTTGGGACGTGTCGCTCCTGGGTCACTGGGTGGGAGAGTGAGTCTCGCTTGCTTTAAAGACACAGCTCTCCCTGTGCGTCTGCAGAAGTGTGCGGAGATCATCGTCGCGCACCTCAGCTACCTGAACTACACGCAGTACACAGTGACGGTGGGATTCGAACACCTCAGACTGCCCCTCAAGGACGTGAACTTCACAGTAAGTGTGCAGCCGACCGCAGAGGCTCCGGCTCCCTCGTTCCTCTCCCATTCTTCGGCTGAGTGGCTGAAATTACGTTATTTTTTTTATTTTTAAAAAATATATTTTATTGATTTTGTACAGAGAGGAAGGGAGAGAGATAGAGAGTTAGAAACATCAATGAGAGAGAGTCATTGATCAGCTGCCTCTTGCACACCCCCTACTGGGGATATGCCCGCAACTAAGGTACATGCCCTTGACCGGAATTGAACCCGGGACTTTTCAGTCCCCAAGCTGACACTCTGTCCATTGAGCTAAACCGGTTTCGGCTGAAATTACGTTATTTTGGATTGTGAAAGACACATACAGTTTTTTTAAGTTATAGTTTAATTTAAACCACAGTTTAAAAATTTTTTTTTTATTATTCACTATACGTAGTTATTACAATACAAGGTGAGACAAAAGTAGACTTACCGATGTTCATATGGAAAATAATACAGTAATTAATAAATATTAATTATTAAGTGAAATCATCTGGCACATGCACTGACTGGGAATTGAATTGTGACTCCCTGGTTCATAGGTCGATGCTCAACCCCCAGAGCTACGCCAGCTGGGCTCCTGGAGGCATTTTACTGGTTACTTTTTAAAGTTTAATTTCTTCGGGCCTGCACGGGATTCGATGTTGTATTTGCCAGTGTGTGGTCAGAGGAGGTGCTCAGCAGTGTTGAACGGGGGACGTGGACCAAACCTGTAGGCTTTAATCAGGGAGACGGGACCAGGCCATGAACTCAGCCTGTTCACGTGTCCACTCTCGGAACGGCAGGGTGAGCCGGGAAGGAAATGTCTGCAGCCTGAGTGTTTGCTGGGATTTTACTGCTCATTTCCTTTGCAGTTTCATTGCCCCGTGTCCAGTGTTTTCAACAGTATGTGTGTCTGTGTGTGTGTTTCAGTGTCAGGCCTGTGAGTTGAATCTAGTGTCAGACTCCCTGCTTTGAAGTGGGTTTTGACTGCTCAGACGGCTTTCCTTTGAGCATTGCACGTGGGGCTGCGGGCCCAGCGCCGTGCTCTGGGCCTGCTGTGAGCTGGCCGTGGCCGAGGCGGGGCGGGCTGCCTCCTGTGCACCTGGCGGAGGGAGAGGAGCTGACGGCTGACTCCACGGAACTTATTTGGTTTCAGAGGCAAATTTTAACGTTTCACTGAGTCTTTTTTAGAACATCCTACCTACTCACAGTTTACGTCTTTTTAAAAATCTGTTCCTTTTCCTGGAAAGCCTGGCATTCTCTAACAAAGAGACTGGCAGTGTTGATTTTTTTTTTTTTTATGCGATATAAAAGCCAAATGCTCTTTTATGGTTATAGACTATCTGCCAGGTTCATCATTAGTATAACATCAATTAAACCTATTTTCAGCTCTAGGTCATTAATATTTTCAAAGTCTGTGTTCTTTATAATAAAAGGGTGATATGCTAATTAGACCAGGAGACCTTCCAGACGTCCTTTCAGACAAGCCATGGTGGCGGGGCCAAGGCAGAGGTGGTTAGGGGCGATCAGGCCGGCAGTTGGAGGTGAGCAGGCCAGCAGGGGGGCAATGGGGGCGAGCAGGTTGGCAGGGGATGGCAGTTGTGGGCAAGCAGGCCAGCAGGCAGAGTGGTTAGGGGCAATCGGGTAGGCAGGCAGGTGAGCTTTTAGTAATCCCGGATTGTGGAGAGGGATGTTCCAGATTGGAGAAGGGGCAGGCTGGACTGAGGGACAACCCCTCCCACCCCCACCACCCGTGCGCGAATTTCAGGCTGCGGCCACTAGTATTAAAATGTAATGTGCTAAAATTTTAGGACATGTAAGAAAGTAGAAGGAAAGAGAACATTTTACCTAACAGTCTCATACCTAGAGATAACTGTTATTATTTTTAATCCTCACCTAAGGATATTTTTCCATTGGTTTTTAGAGAGAGTGGAAGGGAGAGGGAAGGACAGAGAGAGAAAAACATCGATGTGAGAGAGACATTGCCTTCTGCATGCGCCTCAGCTGGGGCTGGGAACTGAGCCTGAGAGTGAGAGGTACATGCCCTTCACCGGAGTTGAACCTGCGACCCTTCAGTCCTCGACTGATGCTCTATGCACTGAGCCAAACCAGCGAGGGCCACAGATAACTCTTACTAATAACCTGGTGCACTCCCGTTTTTGTGTTGTTTTACTGTTTTAACTTTGTCACCTACAGTTGCCATTCAGTGTTGTTCTGTGTTAGCTTCAGGTGTACAGCATGGAGGGCAGACAGACACGTGCTTCATGGGGTGGTCTCCCTGGCATTTCCACTGCCCTCCTCGCCCCATGCACGGCCATTGCTGTGTGGGCTGCGTTTCCTGCGCTGCGGCTACTTCCTTTTAGATGCATTTCTCCTCAAACTGTGTCGCGTTCCCATTCTAGTGGAAGACTTACGACCCCGCCTTTTCCAAGATGGAAATTTGGTTCCGGTTCGTCTTTGTGGTGCTCACCTTCATTGTCACTGTAAGTTCCGTCCGCCGGGCAGCCAGGCCAGAGTCTGGCAGGAGCGGGTCAGTGTGTGACTTTCGATCGCCCAAGTGCAGGCCTCCGAGCGCTGAGCCCGTGCCGGCGGGCCTGACCCACGCAGTGCTCCGCGTGTCTGCCCGCGTGTCTGCCCGTGTGCTCACGTGTCTGCTGGTGTGTCTGCCCGCGTGTCTGCCCGCGTGTCTGCCGCGTGTCTGCCCCGCGTGTCTGCCCGCGTGTCTGCTCACGTGTCTGCCCGCGTGTCTGCCCCGCGTGTCTGCCCCGTGTGTCTGCTCGTGTGTCTGCCCGCGTGTCTGCTCGGGTGCCGCAGTGCAGGCGGCGACATGGCCTCTGTAGCCAGGACGTCTGTGTCGGACACTGATCCCAGGGCACTGGCTTGCAGGCAAACTCGCACCCGTGGGCACTGACTGCCACTCGCCTGGTGGCAGGAGTCGCCGGGTTTGTGTGACCTTTCGGCTGTAGGCCTGGTTCCCTTGGCTTTGCCTCTGGGAGCCCCATGCCATCTGTCATGTGGCCCTGCATGGCCCATGTGGCCTTTGTGTGGGGGCACTCTGTGTGGCTCCGTTCCATTCCTGCTCCCTCCCGCTCCCTCCTGCCCCGTCCTGCCCCATCCTGCCCCCTCCCGCTCCCTCCCGCTCCCTCCTGCCCCGTCCTGCCCCGTCCTGCCCCCTCCCGCTCCCTCCTGCCTCCTCCTGCCCCGTCCTGCCCCCTTCTACCTCCTCCTGCCCCCTCCTGCCCATCTGATCGGCCCTCTTGCAGCAGTTACCATCTTGCCGCAGTTGTCACTGATGGTCTCAGCAGTGTGGTCACCAATGGCTGACTCCGAGCTCTCGGCTGGACCGGGACAGGACTGGGTGGCGGGTGCTCAGGGAGCACTCCCAGTGACAGCCGCTTCCTTCCGTCGCAGTGCCTGTTCGCACATTCCCTCCGCAAGTTCTCCATGCGGGACTGGGGCATGGAGCACAAGTGGATGTCCATCCTCCTGCCCCTGCTGCTGCTCTACAACGGTAGGTGCACCTTCATTCTGGGCTTCCCCTGGAGCGGGGCTGGGAGGCATCCGAGAGGCGGGCTGGGGGCAGGAGGGGGTGCCTCAAAGGCTCGGGCAGCAGCGCCCCAGCGTGAAGGAGGCCGTAAGACTCGGAAGGTGCTGGAACCTTCACAAACGAGTGACGGAGACTCGGAAGGGCGACAGGCACAGCCTCCTTGGACGTGGCTGAAGCTGCGAGCCTGCCGTCTGTTCCTCTTCCCTGCCCAGAGCTGCACCCCAGGATCCCTGGCCTGGGGGGCGGGGGCGGGAGCAGACAGCGCTCTGTAACCACCACAGGCCATCTGCTCGCCGGCCTTAGGTTTTTAGGAAACAAAACGGCGTTCAGTGCACCCCTCACCAAGTCTCCTGCTCTGCCTCCAGACCCGTTCTTCCCCCTCGCCTTCCTGGTGAACAGCTGGGCGCTGGGCACGCTGGACGACCTCTTCCAGTCGCTGTTCCTGTGCGCCCTGCTGCTCTTCTGGCTGTGCGTGTACCACGGCGTCCGCGTGCAGGTGAGCCGCCCGGCACCACCATGCCTGCTGCCGGCCTGCGGCGGCCGTCCCCGGGTGAACTTGACCTTGGGGCCTCTCTCCAGCCTCGTGGTCTAGAGAAGCATGGCCGCCCTGTAGAAATGTCCCGTGTGTAACCAGTGCGGTCTCAGGGTTAGAGGGGCGCTGGAGTTACTCATTTCTCTATTCCTTACTCCTTTTTTGCTTTTTAGGGAGAAAGAAAGTGTTTGACCTTCTATTTGCCTAAATTCTGCATTGTTGGACTTCTGTGGTTGGCTTCGGTCACACTAGGAATATGGCAGACGTGAGTAATTTTGTAACGTGTGGACAGATCCGAAGTCTGACTGTGTGCTGTGCCCTCATCCAGAAAGGAATCTGTCACCCAGAGTCTCAAGACTCGGCAGGGTGACTTGACCTGAGGGCTTCGTTTTGCAAGAACAGCACGTGGAGGGATCCACGATTCTTCCAAGCTGGGAGGGGGGAGGGGAAAGGGTGTCACTCCAGAGACCACCTCCAGCGAGGCCCCCTCCAGCGAGGCCCCCTCCAGCGAGCCAAGGCGTCCTGTGGATGTGGCTCAGGTGGCGCCGGGCCCCCCAGCTGTCTCAGCTGCTCCTTTGGCTGCACCTGTCAACTTCCCGTCTTTCTCAGAGTTTCTGTGCTTCTGGGGAACTGTGCGCTGCAGAAGCTGTGGGTTTTCTGCAGAAACTAGTTCCATTGTGGCACCTGCACATGAGACTTTAGCTCACACCTTCTCCCTGCCCGCCCGTCATACCCGGCTTCACGTCACAGTGATGTCAGAGAAGTTTAGTTACTTTTACTGCCGTTTTGTGTGCTCTCATCTGATTCCTGGTGCCCCTTTACCATGGAAAGGTGCCTGGAAAACGGCTCTTAAAACTGCAAGAGTAAGAATAGCGCAGGGATTTTCGAAATGAAAAACACTTCCACTTTCCCACGGTGATGACTGAGGACAGTTACGCTAGCAGCATCGTATGCCTTGCCAACATGAAATTTAGGGTTACTGCTGAAGCCGGTTTGGCTCAGTGGATAGAGCGTTGACCTGCGGACTGAAAGGTCCCAGGTTCCATTCCGGCCAAGGGCATGTACCTTGGTTGCGGGCACATCCCCAGTAGGAGGTGTGCAAGAGGCAGCTGATTGATGATTCTCTCTCATCAATGTTTCTAACTCTCTATTTCTCTCTCTCTTCCTCTCTGTAAAAAATCAATAAAATATATTTAAAAATAAATAAGTAAAGATTAAGGGAATGTCCTTCTAGTCCTAGCTTTAAAAGATTATTTAAAAAAAAAAAAGAAAAAGAAATTTAGGGTTACTTTTTAAAAAGCCTTCATCTGAGTGAAAGCATAAAAGTAAAAAGTAAATAATTATTAATCTATGGTTTCTTATAACGTATTTTCAGAGTTAATGAGTTGCACGATCCAATGTACCAGTATCGCGTTGACACAGGAAATTTTCAGGTAAGGATTAATGAAGCCTGAGGATGTTTTTAAATGCCATTTTTTAAAAAATGACTGAATTTTGTAACTTAAATTGTTCTGTTGACACAAACTCACTAACTGGCTGTTGGGGAAGCACTGTAGGAAATTCATGTGGAAAATTTGGAAAATGTGCTTGAGGAGTCTGAAAAAGGACTTTCTAAAAGCTCTGCTGCTACTCCCGGTCCTTGGCTGGAGCTCGGCCCAGCGAGTGTCCGGCTGTAGGGACACGGGGACGGCGGAGGGAACGTCTGGTCCTTTGTTCTCTCGAGTCGCGGAGGTTTCCGGCTGGACAGGCGCAGGGCCGGCCCGGGAGGCGCCCCCTGACACCGTGTCCTCCTCCACCAAGGCCACGCGCCTCCACTGTCCGTCAGCCGGGCCCGGCCTCGCGCTCCACTCTGGCGCCCTCGGAGCGCCCTCGTGTGCCCCAGAGGGCGGCGTTGGCATCTCGGGCGGCACTCCACAGCTCCTGTGACCGCCCGCCCGCCCCCACCCCCTGGTTCTCTGTGGCAGTGGCCGGGGAGAGGGCAGCTGAGTGGCTGATGCCGTGGGCACGGTGGCCACCCTGTGTGGGCCTCGTGGGAAGGAGTGTGAGTATCTGATGCTTCACTGGAGCCCAGTGGGTGCCAGCGGCCTTTCCAGTCAATGACTGATCAGCGGGAGGAGTTTGAAGGTCGCTGAACGTAAGCTTTATGAACAGCATGACCGTGTGAGGGAGAAAAGCACGGAAGTGGAGATGGGATTGCTGAGGGCCCAGGGCTGAGGGCGGTGTCCTCTTTGCTTTGTCTTTTCCTGGGGTTGCATCATCAGCCGTAGGACCCGTTAGGCAGTGTGAGGGGAGACCAGCACCTGAGCTGGAGCGGGAGGGGTTCTGTTCCCGGGTCACGTGGGGGCGGCCGTGCCCAGCAGGGAGACGGCGTCGGGCAGGCCCTGTTACCAAGGAAACGCTGGTCAGGCTTCCGGGAAGCTGGGCAAAGCTGCAGACCCCCCCCCCCCCCCCCCCCCCCCCCCGATCTAGCGGAACCCCTTTTCGTGACGGACAAGAAAATGAAGCCCGGACGGAAGTCAGTTCCTCCTGGCCTCGGACTGGCGCCCTTTGCCCTGGGCGCGGGGTGCTGGCCCGGAGAGGAGAGGGCAGGGATGGCGGGGGTGGGTGGGAGCTTGAACTGGAGGGGAGCCAGGCCTCACCGCCTGCCCGCCCACCGCAGCTTCCAACCTCAAAGCAAAGTGTTCTTGTCTTTCCTGCGGCAAAACCACAGGGTGTGGAAAAGACCTGGCGACTTCCGCCCCCATGTCACAGACAGAAGCCCAGGCCCAGGAAGATGAGAGCTGCCTGAGGGACTCTCAGGATCTGCTCCTGGAGTCTGTCTTTGACACGTGCCATGACCTTCGCCATGACCTTCACAGGCAGGGCAGGCAGCCAGGCGGCCAGCCCTGTGTGTGCGGGGCTTGCTGCGTGGAAGGGAAGGAGCCCGGCCCTCCCTCAGCCGGTCAGCACGGGCTGGGTCCTCGTGGGGCCACGGGCTCAGAGAGGGCGAGGGCCGCGCCCGGGCAGGGACCTCGGAGCGGCGGGCGACCGTCGGGCTCCGGTCCGGGACGTGCTGGCCTCCCCCGGCCGGGCTGTCGGGAGGGAAGCTCAGTCCGTGTGGTTGGTTCCAGGGCATGAAGGTTTTCTTCCTCGTGGTGGCTGCCGTGTATGTCCTGTACCTTTTGTTCCTGGTCGTGCGGGCCTGCTCGGAGCTGCGGCACATGCCGTACGTAGGTGAGCGCCACTGCACAAGTGCCAGGGCGAGGTGGCCAGGGAGGAGTGGCTGGAGGCCACAGGCCAGTGGCCTGGAGGCGGGAGACCCAGAGACCGGCCACCCCCCGGCTGGATGGGTCACTGGGCCGTGTGGACGGAGCCTCGGGGCTCAGGGGAGGCCTGTGGACGGGAGGTGAGCCGAGCCCTGGGAGGGTGTGGCGGTTGGAGCTGCGTGGATCCTTCCCGAGGCTCCTTGTGGAGGCCGCTCCTTAGGGTGGTCCTAGTCCTGAGTCAGGAAGTCACCGATGTTGGGCCCACTCCCCAGTCTCGCAAGTCCTGTGGGCATGGCCTCGCCGGACCTGCCTTCCGGCCCAGCATTCCCCTGGCTCGGGCACTCGCAGGTTCCGTCGGAGGGAAGAGAGCTCTTGCTCAGGCGTTTGCTTTATTTCCTGAGAGACGGAGTGTAATGTCCTTGGGGTTTGATGGAGTGCTCTTCTTTTTCAGATCTCAGGTTAAAGTTTTTGACTGCGTTGACGTTTGTAGTGCTTGTCATTAGGTAAGAAAACTTTATTTCTCAACGATGCAAACTGTGCATTTTAATCTTAATCTTACTCTGTGGTGTCTTTTCTCCCCTCTGACGGCGTTCCCTGGGGTCCTCCCTCAGATGTGCTCTGCGGCTCGGCTCGTTAACAGTTGTCCGGCTGGGCTGCATGTGAAGAATGGAGCCCTCGGAGGGCAGGGGAGGGGAGGGGAGGGATGGGGAGGGGAGGGAGGGGAGGGGAGGGGAGGGGAGGGGAGGGCGGGGCCAGGCCAGGGCGGAGGATGGGTCTTCAGGGCAGAGCCTGGCTGTGGGACTCACCTTTGGGAACCGCAGCTGCCGCTCGTCAGGGAGGTGACTGACGGGGAGGGATCACTGCCAGGGACGTGTGGTGAGGGAGGAGTGAGTTCCCCGGGAGCCAGTCACTAGGAGAGGATCTTGAAAACATGAATCTAGGGAGAGAGAGGAGGAGGGGATGTGCTGAAGGTCACATGACCTCCAAGCCCCGACTCAGGACCATGACATGGCCAGCGTCAGGGTTAGCTGGCCCTGCGGCTGGAGCCACACACTGCGGCAGAGGTGGGGTGTGCGGGTGAGTGGACACGTTTCCATGCAGAAACAGTAGTAATAAGACTGTAATTGATAACAGGGCGAATACAACAACTCCCACAAAGCTTTGCTGTTCCTTCCGGTAGTTTACACATCTCCCTCCTCTTCTGCAGCATCGTCATCCTTTACTTACGGTTCGGAGCACAAGTATTACAAGACAATTTTGTAGCTGAGCTGTCTACTCACTACCAGAATTATATCCTTTTCCTCGGGCTCAGTGCTTCCGGTGGCGTGATTAGCTGGCAGGTCTCTGAGTACCACGGAGAGGCAGGCCACCTCCTGGGCCGTACCTCCCGGGTCCCGCTCCGTCTGCAGAGGGTTGTGCCCGACCCGCAGCTCAGGCTCCCGGGGCGAAGTCAGCCGTCAGTGACCAGGTGGATTCAAGCCCGGGACCCTCTGTCCCCACCACCACCCAGAGGCCTCCCGCTGCGGTGTCCGCGGGGTGGGTGATGAGGACAGTTTGAGCCTGTCTCCAGGGAGGGCCTGTGTTCGTTCCTGCGTGGGTGCCTGACAGGCTAGGTGGCTCCCCAGCCGGTACCTGTGACTGAATGTCACACTACGCTTTTACCAGCTTCTCAAAGCGCCTGCCATCCAGAAAAGGGGAAAGAATGACTGCTGTGAGGGCCTTTCCCAGCTCTGCAGTTCATTCTTGAGTCACCCGTGTGGCTTTCCCGCCCTTCCCGCCCTGGGTCCTGCCTCCTCCGAGGTGACTGCTCCTTGCAGGTAACCTGGAGAGGCTGCTGTAGCCTCTGGCCTGGGCTTGTCCTGTGGGTTAGGGGGCCCAGGTACCCGGCCATCAGCGGTAGAGAGGCTGGTGGGTAAGGAGCAGACAGACTGACAGCCCCGCCCCGCCCCACCCCGCCCGTGGG